TGATGCCCAGCAAACACTTTAGAAGCCATATCCACCTGTTTTATCCAGCACACCTGAGGTTCCCTGCATAATATCAGCAGAAGCCCTTGAGCCATCCAAGACAATTAACACTCTCCCTTAGATCAACAGTTGGGGAAAAAAGTGGATGGCGGCATTTGGTGCAGAGGGCCCTCACAGTGTAGGCACATGAGAAAGCAGGTCTGATTGGTATTAAGTAGTGAGATTAAAAAGCCATCTCATAGGTCAGGTCAGCTGGTGTTCATTTGAATGCATTACCAGGGTCCGAGGCTAGATAATTCTCTCATTAGCGCCACTCAAACCCTGAGTGACAACACGGGTGAGAAGGGAGCATGTCTTACAACACTTAGAGTTAATTAGTCCGCTCGCACTGTTGCTCTGCACCCCATGCGTCCGCTCTCTCTTGAAATGGCCTCAACCTAAAGCGTCTGCAGTTAATCAAAGATGAGCTGCGGAGTTTACCGTAGGAACCACCTGTTGTTTCAGGAAATACCTGAAGAGCATTTTCAAACCTCAAAGAAAAACATTCTCAAACCTGTAGTACTATAATGTAATGTGGCATGTCGCTGAACAGTTTTTTTACAACTTATTTTCAGAGTTATGACCATCATTTCTATTCTATTCTGTTGGTTATGACAACTTGAGGCCAAGAAACTATCAAAATCCGTCTTGGTCTCAGACATAGACGACCCAGGATTTTTATTTCAAGGCCGGTCAAGATCTCAACTGCGGGGATATCACTAAATTGCCTGTGTGTCGTCTGATTTAGGCTATTTGTTAAACTCATTACTGTGATTGCTCATAATTTTCAATTTCCACACATTAAATTCAGCGCTAACTGCGCTAAGTAACAGTGCAAACAGCGCTGACGGTGCAAACAGCGCCAAAAGTACTGACAGAGCCAACAGTGTTTACTCGGGGGGTACCTACGGCATTATCAGCTGTAACCGCTGTACTATGAGTGCAGTGCAGAGCGGCGCCTGTGAGCTAGCTAGTGGGACACGCTTTACATGCACGAACATCAGCTAAAACGCAAGCGCGTCCGGCCCGGCTGTGTAGACAAAGAAAATCCAGAGAAACTCAGATTACAGAACACAGAGAGAGAGAGAGAGAGAGAGAGAGAGAGAGAGAGAGAGAGAGAGATCAACATCTAAAGGTTCCATAAATTGTCTCTTTTCTTTCTCTTCCCACTGTTCACTCGCACTCCTACCACTGTTTCCATGAGACAAGGCACTCGGCTCATTGGCCAGCACACACACACCCACACCCACACACAGGGGGGTTCTCTCTCGCCACCACCAGTGGGCTTACCCACCACACACACACAGAGCCTGAATAACAATCTCTGCATGTGCCCCCCCCCCCCCCCAATCGCCACCCCCAACCGAGCGCATGGGGTTAGCTGAATATTCTAGAAGCTTTCAATTTTTCAGGCAGGTCTGCGAACCCCCTCCCATCACGCGGCGCCATCACACTCAAGGGAGTTAGAATTTCAACAGTCGTTAGCAGGGTCATCTGCAGTCCCTCAGGGAGGGACTTGAAAGAAAAAGATTTGAATTGCCTTTCTCTCTTTTTATTCTCTCTTCGTCTCGCCGCTTTAGTTCTCTGTATGGGTCCGTCATAATTCCACTTCCTGTCTTCAAGGCCTAGCAATATTCATCCCCCTCAATCTTGTCTGCACTGCCAAATTCATCAATCAAAGGCGAGGTCTTCCAAAGTGCTTTTTATAGCTCGGTAGTCATGCTTCTTATGCCACTGTCAAAAGTGGCGACAGAGCTCGGAACTGGTGGCGATGCCACGGTAAGGCGTTTATCCACTTGTATAATGTACTGTGGTGGTCATACAGGATCAAATACGGGATGTGAGGAAAATGGCTTCCAGCTGAAAGAGAGGGAGGAGGAGGGGGTTGTGAGGAAGAGGGGGTTGAAATGAGAAAACATTTCTTCTTCTAACTCTTTTGCACTAATATGAATTCCCAGTGAAATGTCTGGCGAAGTAGGTCAATGGGATTTAGAAAGTTTGTGCTGTTTTTTCTTTTTGTGTTTTTTTTTTCCCTCCTCTCTCTCTCTCTCTCTCCTCACACTCTCGTCAATGGAAAATGAGCAATGCGATTAGGAGAGGGGAAGATGATGAGCTACAGAGAGTGAGTGAAAAAGAGCAAGAGAGGAGCAGAAAAAGACAGAAGGCAGGCTGAGTGGTGGTTTGGGCCTCTCACGGGTCCCTCACCAGCTGACAGAGAGACCCAGACAGAGAGGCAGAGGAAAGGGAAGAAGGGGGATTGGATCTGTGCTCTGGAGGAAGGGAGTGGCTGATGTGTCTTCATCTTGATATTGAAGCAACAATCTAATTATACAATTTCTCCAGGGAATATGCATATGAGGGTAATCGGTAAATAGAAAAAGGTAATTATTTGCCAGAAGTCATACCCTTTGCACCTGTAAGCACTGCACCAATACACGAGATTGGGCTTTTAATTCACAGTGAAGATAGTTTATCAGCAGCTAAATTATTTTGTTAATTTGTAATAAATAATGAATTTCCCAGTTCTTGAATATTTCATAGTGTCTGTCAAAAGTGTAATCAGTTAAGTTTGGTCAAATACAAATGGGCCTCTCTTGGTAATTTGCCAGAATGTTCCTCGGGGTAAATCTCCGCCAGTGAATGTGATTGAATGTTACAATTAAACGTACTAATTCATTGTCAAAAGCAACTTATCTATACACATGATATATTTGGCGCTTAATTGGAAAGCACATTTAGAAATGGTTTTCTTGTGACTTTCTACATCACGGCCTAATCAGAATAAATTCTGCCCTCTGTAATGAATTGAAGTTGAATATTCGTCGTTGGGCTATTAAAGAGACCGGAGGAGTGAATTATTTAAATGCTAATTAATGTTTTAAGCTTTTCAACCTGCAATAGGCACATATTATTCCTCAGTCCCCCCCCACACACACAAACGACTGACTCCGACATTCACTAAGCACTAAACTTCTTGCTCATATTTCATTCAATCAATTCAGCTGCAGTGGTGCTTCTTTCACCCATGCAGCCACCTCGAGCCAGTGATGGAGGAAGATGGAATCCATCAATACTGGGAGACAGTTGATGGAATTACTAATCAACTCTCAGCTGAGAATTCAGTTGCCCATTGGAAACAGGATTCAGACCTGCTTTAGTTATAATTCTGTCTCTGACGGAGGTAAGGGAATTTTGAATTGCTGCTTTTATTTTTGACCACAAAAGATTGAAGTTTTTATGAACACATTGCTTGAATTCTACTTTATTTAAATGTGTTTTCCACCAGTGTTCCACCGCATATTACATCTGTTTAGTAAACGCTTGGTGCTTTGTGATCTGTCGCCATCATTCTGCTGAGATTTAAAGCTCGCCAGCAGCTTCTGACAGAGCCATGGATATTAAATGAACTTCATTAGCGTTGAAATAGTGCGAGATGTGGTTCAAGTTTGTGTTCAAAGCAGCCGGCAAAAGAGTTCTAATGTGAGCGGCAGTCGCATTATTCATGTTTCCACAATAGCTTGTTATTCATCATAAGACAAAGGAGAATCTCACACGGCTTGACATAGATGGAGGAGGGCCACGAGGGTATTACTCACATCTGTTGAAAACAGTATGCACAGCCAACTGGATGTCACGATACACCATGCTTATTAATGCAAACAAAGTCTCCCAACACAGAATATAAATGACATTTTCCTTCACATCACAGCATAAATATTAATTGTGTTAAATCCATGATGTATGGTGGTTAGGGAGAGGCTTTAGTTGTTTGTTGTCTCACCAACGGGATGCATTTTATTAATCAAAGCAGCACACATGTGACACCATATTGTGAAGTACAGCACACACGGAGCTGTTGTATTCAAAGATGTACGTTCCTTTAATACCACAAGGTGGTGCAGTAGGCTAACAAACTGGTGCCATCAAACTGCTCATCCCAGTCTCTGCATCTCCAAATACTGATAAGAGCAATTGCAGTTGATTTCAAATCGGCATTTTCTTAAACTTCGACCTAAACATCGCAAATAATCTACAGTATCCCGCTTTCTTTGAGACCTGTACACACCACATGTCAAATACTCAATACGGCTCCCAGCCTTGTGTGTCTACGGTGCATTGTTCAGCACCCCATATAAATAATCCTACCTTAACCACAACATGCACAAAGAATCAACAGAAGGCCTTTGGGAGGCTTTTCGCCTTGTTCACTCTTTTCTTTCTTTAAGTAGAGAGTTTGCACAGCTGTCCGGGGAACACAAATGGCATTACACTCTCTTCCTGTGGCAGGACATCTGTTGCTTTCAGCTGGCATCCCTTCTGAGTCTACTGGAGTGTGCTTTATGCAGCCTGGTGGCATTAAGGGTTTTTGAAGGGTTTCATTCCAATGTAGAGGGTGACATGGTACAGTTTTGTGTCAAATATACAAAGGAAAGCCAAATTGCCAGTATAATTTATTTTCCTTTGTACTTCATATCAAAAGACACACTCGCGTAGATCTCGGATAAGACCGCAGAGATAAACCAACATCACCTTAATACACGATAGGTGAATGCATGTACTGAGACACATGTTACTAAAGATGAGGCCTTGATTAATATTATTGCAGAAAATTGCAATGCATTCATACGCATCCTTCTGCAGCAGCTTGGTCTCACAGCAGCCTTGGACCGTCTGACTGAGGAACTCTCCTCCCTCCATAAACCTCCCAGTACAGACTGACTGGGAAGGAGAGAATACTAATTTGCATCCCACTGAATCAACTTACCACTGTCAGCGCATGTTCTCACGTCCCCTGCTGAAGTCCGATTTTCTATTAATGACCCTGACCATTTTCTAAAATGAAAAGAAATTCAGTGGTGCTTTAAATTTTCGATCTCCAATGAAATTAAGCTTGGTTGGTTGACTCATCTAATTTGTATGAATGTGTGAGTCAGACAAAAAAAAACTATTCCAAATTGTATAAGAAGTGAAAATTGTTTTTTTTTTTATTATTCAGTCTTCTCATTTGGATTGAGCACATTTGTATTTTGAGATAATCTTTGCATACTCCCGTCCAGACTGATATATGGTTCGGCTTAGCCTTGCGTCCGTGAAGTCCACATGGAACAATCCAAAACGAGCCCTGAATCCATCAGCCCATTCAAAGTTGTCCAGCAGTGACCATGCGAAATATCCACGGACGTTGACCCCATCTTCTTGTATAGCTACATAAATAAACACAGAGAGGAAAAACTATTTTGTAGAAAAGAGTTAATTCAGGTTTTTAAAAACAGAAGTATATTGATTTTATACTTTAGGAGGCTACAGCCCTCAATGACACATCACAAGATAAGCATATTACATCCCGTATTAAGACATCCGATGCATCCAAAGAGCATGAATTATTTGCAACAAGCAAAAAGTACGTACATGTATGTATGTATGTATGTGTGTGTGTGTGTGTGTGTGTGTAACCTAAGCAGAGGGGCTAAAACAATTATCATTTTCTCTGAATCTCGCCTTTAAATAACTGCTATGCCATTCTACAGAAACCATCCGAACTCCCGAGCGAACTTTAAATATCCCTGTCAACGACACATGCACAGAGTGGCCACATGGTGGTGCCAAAACCAACAATTCTACTTTTAGACATTAACTCCTTAGCCTTAAGGTCTGGAGGTGAAATAATAATAATATAAATAATGGTTTCTCCCGTTTTCATAAATTAATGAAAAAATATCACCAGATGATTTTTTTGCACTATTATAGTTTTCTTACCTTTTTGAATTTAACCTTTTTTCGTGATATATGTAAATAACCCAATTAATAAAACTTGACCCAAAGATTCTGAAAATTGTAAGAAATTGTCCATCGTGCACAGGCGGTGGTTTTGTCCGTGATGTGTAAAATAAAACAATGGTAAGAATTCTTGGTGCAACAGCGACCAATCTTTGCATCTCTGCTTTGTGACACATTTACACCCAATTGCAAGAGGTGAAGGCGTAACAGACCACATTTGATCTTCTACTACTCTCTGCTAATGGCAATTTGCTCATTTCCAGAGCAGATCTACCAGCCATTACCTTTAGCCACTTCCAAGATGGTGTCCTTGTAGAACTCTGAGCGCTGGACATCCTCAATCTGCAGCTGCCCCACCTGAGAGAAGCCGTTCTCGGTAATGTAGACGGCTGGGTTGTTGAAAGCGTCCTGAAAAGTCATCATGGGGCAAATATTATTGTCAAACAAGGCATCTCAGCTGTCAGACATTCCAGGGAGAGACAGATTGGTCTACAGTGTGCCGTTTAGCTGCATTTCAACGGTGCCAAGCTCAAGCTAATGGCCTGTGACAAGGCACAACAGCAGGAAATTGCAATTGCAAACACTTTCAGCAAAGTAACTGTTTCATTCAATGTGACAGCGCTAATGAAGCATCAATGTGTTTCTGGAGGTGTTAAAAGGAGATTACCGAATACAAAATCAATAGCAAGACACTAAACAAATGTCAGGGTGTTCTACTTGTTTGGTTGAAGGCGATTTGTCTTCTTGTAGGGCAATTCAGTTTGATGCCAAGAGAAAAAAGAAAAATGACTTCCCATTTCAGCTGATTGAGTTCACACTCAAAATAAGGGATGTGTTTGGGCCTTGTTTGGGGATATGTTGTAGTGATGTGGACTGAGGGAAATTAAATAGAAAATGACCGCAAAAGATGGACCAGTAGTTGTAGTTTTACCTTGATGTACTTGAGAAGTTTCCTTAAGCCACGGGGCACTACAGCGAGCCAGGACACGCCACAAATGGGCCAGGACGGATCCAAAACTTCTCCTGCATCTCGGTCGCTCTTCATGCACAACGTCTCTCCACAACCTCCTCCCGCCTCGATGTTCCGAGATGTGTAGTAGTTCAACGCAAAGAAGTCCGCTGTTCCCAAAATGGCAGGCTCCTCCTTTGAGAAACTGGGCAGCCTTGAGCTACCGCTGCATCCCAACTTCTTACTTTGAGCGTCGACGGCAGATCTCATTATTTCTGGATAGTCTCCAGTTACAAACACAGGCCAGGCGAACCAACCTAGTGTGAAGGCAAGTTGTCGTTGAGTGGCGGCGATATCCTCGGTGCGACCTGCGTGCAACGGCTCAAGCCAGTCGCTGTTGATGGCCAGGGACACCGCACCCTTCTGCTCTGTCCTGTAGAAGGAGTCGTAGCTGTGCCAGGCCATGGCGTGGGCCCGCAGCATGTTATGGCCCACTAGGTAGGCAGCGACTCCCGGTTCTTTTAACCCCGGGGCGTGGATGCCATCTTCGTGGCCCAGTTTGGCGCACACGTAGGGCTCGTTGATGGTGATCCAAAGTTTTACGCGGTCGCCGAACGTTTGGAAACAAAACTTTGCGTAGCTGTCAAACAGGGTCGCTGTACCCGCTGATTTCCAGCCACCCTGATCTTGAAGAGCTTGAGGCAGGTCAAAGTGGTAAAGTGTCACCATCGGTGATACATTGCAGGCCAGCAAACCATCAAGCACCTTGTTGTAGTACTGTACACCTGTTGGACACACATCCAACAGGTGGTTAAGACGTAACGAGGTGAAAAGGCAATGCAACCATCTATTAAAACCAAAAAGAGCTTGTTCCATTGTGTCGCTCTGGATCTAGGTCCAACGGGGATATGGAAATACCTTTTTGATTGACACGTCGTGTCGTCCCATCAGGCAGGAGGCGAGCCCAGGAGAGAGACAGACGATAGTGTGTCAGTCCAAGCTGCTGGATACACTCCAGGTCCTTCTCCCACAGCTCGTAGCTGTTGCAGGCCTCATCTCCATTCTGCTCCCCAAACACTCTGCCTTTCTCGTGACAAAATGTGTCCCAGATACTTGGTCCCTTGCCGTCTGCCTGCCAGCCACCTCAATGTGCACATAGAGGTTGTTTCATTTTATAAAAGTATGAAGGGTGCTGACATGAAAACAAATCACAGTAATGTTTCTGTTGGGATTTGTGTCTGTCGATGTCACAGACTATCCTTGTGGAGATTTTTGTAAGAGTGTCAGCTTTTACATTGGGGTCACCTGCGAGCTAGTTCATTTGTTCCATTAACTGCAAGCAGTCTTTGAGTTGGTCGTACATTACAATGGTGAACAGCGTGCTCTGTATGGGTTGTAATTTATTAACGCCCATTACATTTAGGGATACAACATCTGGTATGAAACAAATTACCTTTTGTGACCTTTGTGTCCTGGTGTGTGCTATCTACAGGGAGTAGATGCAACATCATAAAAACCTGTGCAATCTAACGGGATCCAAAGGTTCTTCAAAAAAAACAAACCTCAATGGAGCTTATGGTGTACAGTCTGTAAGAGTGGTGTGGATTCAGCTCTGGTCATTTTTAAAATCATTGTTTGACATATTGGACTTTATTAGAAATATACTGGATAAAGCTCACGCTATCTCCCATAATGCAATAGTTATAACATCGTCACAAACTAGGGCAGAGGTAGTTTGTAACGTTGCAGACTTTCCTGACACACTAAATGTGATCGCAAGGATAGGTACTTTTGCATATTTAATTTAAGAACAATTGAAAACGTTAATTTTTTTTAAAACGCAAAGTTCAAGTCTCAACGACACCTAAACTTAACTCTTTGATGTAGATCTATTTTGAAAAACTGCGCGAGTGTTGCTGATACATTGTGTCCAATTCATAAATCTCGTGGTTGTGTTTACCTACCTTCTATTTGATAGGCAGCAGTTCCCGCTCCCCACGCAAAGTCTCGTGGGAACATGTTTCTTTTAGGATACAGGAATCAAAGTCGTTATTATGCCTTACTATCTGCGTTTTGTACATCGGATGTGAATGTCTCATAGGAACCTTACATTTAAACCTATTGTTTGGTTTCCGTGCAGACAACAATGCAGCCGCACGACCAGGAACAACTCAAATATGTGACGTTCAGTGGTTGTCTTGTAAAGTATGATGTACGAGCCAAGGCTTTTTCTTTGCGTCATTCTGTTCGTGCAGCACACCTTAAATGCTGTGGGTAAATAATTAGCCATAAGCACGTTAGGTACTGGGGTCGGCATTTCGATATTCCCATGAAAGTTGTGTTCACGACTTGGGATCTACAAATCTTCCGAGGGGAACTTGAAAGCAGCAAAGTTATTGCGCCTGCCCGCCTATTTGCGGGAGCGCGCACAGTGTAAAGTGAAAACTACCAGACGGTGAAGCCTTAATGATTTATACGGCAAAGTGCGGTTTAAAAACGTTGTGATCTTCTTTGTGGGTTTCATCAATGGTGATGATGAGGTTTGATGATGTAACAGTGTTTGATCCTAAAGTGTCTGAAAAGGAAGTTAATGGGGGGAGCATTATTTGGCAATAGGTCTATATTATACTTGACAGGTTTTACATCCTCTCCTTCTCAGACCTTTAGGCACTTTAAGATCAAACATTGTTACCAGCTCATATGATTTGTGCTCTTTTTAAAGGACAGTCTGGATTTCATACATGTAACACTCCTGAGAAAGGAGGGGATGTGATTCTCTGCAGGCAATCAAATATGCCCCTGCTCTGCTGAATAATGCCTCCAGATTGTAACTTTTTTCTAGAGATCTATGACCCAAATGCGGTTATCAGCACATATGTCTGGACCATTTGGGCTTGACAGTGGAAATTCTATACATTAAATCAGCTGAAATCTACTCATTTTGCACAGTTTGCTGCATGGGAATAATGTTACGTCCTGTACGCAGAGTCGCAGACAAAACCGGTCATGGTGCTTGTCAACGAACCCCAATGTGCTGAATGCAAATAAACAAGTGGAGGTGAAAGCATAAAGGCCTGAAGGCATATGTTCTCTGTCATGTGATGCATCCAATGCTCTCCTCTGGTCCCGTTTTCTATCGAGTGAAGGGACTCACTCAACCTGATCTTCACAAAGAAAATGGATTGTTTGCCAAAGGGCAAACACTTCCTTGCCAGCTAAACGATTGTATCTTGCAGCTTCAAATAGCTGCAAGATACAATTGGATTTTTGAGACTTTGTCTTTGCATGGCTATTGTGGATAGCAAACTTGTTTACAGGCACCAAACGGAAGAATGTGGGATGGAAAAGGTATTCAGAAGAAGAAGAAAAACTTGAGTTTTGGAGGCCTGGTCAAATAGGAGCTATAAATGTTCTTTTCAAATTGTTGGGTTAATGTTTTTGTGTCTTATTCTGCAAAGTTAACCACTGTGAAATACATATAAAGTGAAGTAGGTGTAAATGGTAGCATATAATGGAAATAGTCAGGTAGGTACCATCAAAAATATATTTGGTGGGCTACAGTAATTGAGTAAAGTCGCTTTCCACTGCTGAAGCTTGAGAGGTAAACCCTACATGCTCAACTGATCAGCCTCTGCTGAGCGTTTTATTCTGAAAAGCGGACCGGATACAGTTTGAATGCCGAGGGACTTGACAGTGGCGTGGAGCCCGGGGCAGAGCCATGGGAGGAGGACTTCTCAATGGACAGAGAACTGGTGTTGAATACTTTTTCATAAACTCAGTGGAACTAGAAAAACAGACGCAACAAGCCGCTTAAGTAATAATTTTTTCTGCGATGTAGAACTTTGACTTTGTTTCCCGAGCATTAGCAGCACAGGAGTGAGCTGAGGAGTGTTGTAGCGCTCGTGAGTGTTTTATTTGGGAGTAATTTCCTGTCGCTCCCTGGAAAAAAAGGGGAAAGTTTACCCGTTGTTGTTGTTGAGATATTTATGTAATTAGCAATTAAAGCGGGGGTATAAAAAAAGGGGGAAAAAGCCTGGGCGTGTTGCCCAAAGTTAGTGCGGATAACCTGGGACTACTGCAGCCGCCTCCCCGTGGACAAGACACCACTAAGCTGGACCCACGCTCTGGACAACAAAGAAAAACCTCTCAACAACCGGACAAGTTATTTAATAACCAGCGAGCACACCCAGCATTTGGAAAACTGCGGATTCGTGGAGTTGCAGGAAACGGAACAGCACGCTGGGATGGAAAGGGAATTATGAATGAGTGGTTTGGCAAACAAAGGAGGACACCTCTGTCGGACTGAACACCGCCGAGCAACGGGAAAAGCCCGAAGAGAAATGGAGGAGGAGAGCTCGCTTGAGCCAAACAACACACTGGCAAAGGTTTCATTTTTGTCTTTAACGCGGTCCTTTTCATAACAAGGCCGCTCACTGTCTCCCCGTTTCAGTATCAAAACATTATTTCCCCCATTTTTCGCCGATGCCGCAGTGGTTTTCTGGTCGCGTGTGAAAATGAGGGTGGATCTGCTGCAGTTGTTTGTGCTCGTGGTGCTCGGCGGTTCGGCGGTGTCATTTGATTGCAAATCATATGATGAGCGCCCGAAAAGCGTTGGGAAAAGCCTGCCCCCCGACAGGAAAGTGGTGTGCAGCAACATGGAGCTCCATCAGGTGTTACCCCCGGACTCCTTCCCCAACAGGACAGTCACGCTGTGAGTATACAGGAGATTGTATACCTAATACAACACACATAAGTTACATATTCCTTGTGTCGGCTTCTAAATCACTGCAGGGACTTGACATGTGTTTATACTGTTAAAACTACAGAGTTTACAAAAAGTCATACTTTAGCATTACCTTAATATATCTGTGACTTACTTCATCCAGTTTATATATACAGTTGTGTGAAAACGTGTTTGCCCCCTTCCTGATTTCTTATTTTTTTGCATGTTTGTCACACTTGAATGTTTCAGATCATCAAACAAATTTAAATATTAGACAAAGATAACACAAGTAAACACAAAATGCAGTTTTTAAATGAAGGTTTTTATTATTAAGGGGGAACAAAATGTGTGAAAAAGTAATTGCCCCCCCCTGTTAAAACATAAATTAACTGTGGTTTATCACATCTTTGGAAAGCTGAGTTCAATTTCTCTAGCCACACCCAGGCCTGATTACTGCCACACCTGTTCTCAATCAAGAAATCACTTAAATAGGACCTGCCTGACAAAGTGAGGTAGACCAAAAGATCCTCAAAAGCTAGACATCATGCTGCGATCCAAAGAAATTCAGAAACAAATGAGAAACAAAGTAATTGAGATCTATCAGTCTGGAAAAGGTTACAAAGCCATTTCTAAAGCTTTGGGACTCCAGCGAACCACAATGAGAGCCATTATCCACAAATGGCGAAAACATGGAACAGTGGTGAACCTTCCCAGGAGTGGCCGGCCGACCAAAATTACCCCAAGAGCGCAGCGACGACTCATCCAAGAGGTCACAAAAGACCCCAGAACAACATCCAAAGAACTGCAGGCCTCACTTGCCTCAATTAAGGTCAGTGTTCATGACTCCACCATAAGAAAGAGACTGGGCAAAAATGGCCTGCATGGCAGAGTTCCAAGACGAAAACCACTGCTGAGCAAAAAGAACATAAAGGCTCGTCTCAGTTTTGCCAGAAAACATCTTGATGATCCCCAAGACTTTTGGGAAAATACTCTGCGGACTGACGAGACAAAAGTTGAACTTTTTGGAAGGTGTATGTCCCATTACATCTGGCGTGAAAGTAACACGGCATTTCAGAAAAGGAACATCATACCAACAGTAAAATATGGTGGTGGTAGTGTGATGGTCTGGGGCTGTTTTGCTGCTTCAGGACCTGGAAGACTTGCTGTGGTAAGTGGAACCATGAATTCTGCTGTCTACCAACAAATCCTGAAGGAGAATGTCCGGCCATCTGTTCGTGACCTCAAGCTGAAGCGCACTTGGGTTCTGCAGCAGGACAATGATCCAAAACACACCAGCAAGTCCACCTCTGAATGGCTTAAGAAAAACAAAATGAAGACTTTGGAGTGGCCGAGTCAAAGTCCCGACCTGAATCCGATTGAGATGCTGTGGCATGACCTTAAAAAGACGGTTCATGCTCGAAAACCCTCCAATGTGGCTGACTTACAACAATTCTGCAAAGATGAGTGGGCCAAAATTCCTCTACAGCGCTGTAAAAGACTCATTGCCAGTTATCGCAAACGCTTGATTGCAGTTGTTGCTGCTAAGGGTGGCCCAACCAGTTATTAGGTTTAGGGGGCAATCACTTTTTCACACAGGGCCATGTAGGTTTGGATTTTTTTTTCCCCCTTAATAATAAAAACCTTCATTTAAAAACTGCATTTTGTGTTTACTTGTGTTATCTTTGTCTAATATTTAAATTTGTTTGATGATCTGAAACATTTAAGTGTGACAAACATGCAAAGAAATCAGAAAGGGGGCAAACACTTTTTCACACAACTGTAGTTTAAAATTAAACAAGATCACTCGACAAGTCCTCTTGTTGTCAGCCACAGACCAGTCTTTTACGGCTGCATACTGGAGGCTAATAGTGTAAATGTAAACCCTATGTAATAGTAACCGCCTGTCCTCCAGTAGTGATTCACACAAGATGGAATTTTGGCTTCTAAATCAGTGCTCACACAAGTCACTTATCAGGCCAAACCTCCAAGGCATTTTAATAGAGCTAAGAGCTCATTAGCTAGTGAGTTAGTAAATCCTTCTGGTGTGTTTTTTTTCTCTACTTGTTAAAGATCTAAACTCTCTGCTGGGGTGTAGTTTGTGTGGTGCTTTGTTATGGACGAGACATGTCTGCTTTTTAAAAGATGTCAAGAAGTGCACTTGAACATAGTCATTATACAGAGTTTTGGGTTGGTCCTTGATTGGTAATCAACCACCAATGTTAAGGTCACACACATATGGACAATGGACTGAGCACAAGTGGATTTCATGAACTCATCGATTCATGAAATCCTACTATGCTGACTGATTTTCAAACCATGCCGGATTTAATTTAACAAAGTGTTTTGGGCTTGTTGGAGAGTGCTTGGTGGAACAGAACAACTGACACACACACAAAAAACGAGCAAAAAAAAACCCGAAATCCAAAGCTGTGCTTCCAGTGCACTTGCTTTGTGGTGGTGGTGGTGAGCGATGGGGGGGAAATCTGAGAATACCAGGGCAGGGAGCAGGAGTAGAAAGCAAATAATAGACTTGAGGGAAGGAAAGAAAGGGATAGGATTGGCTGGTAAAGTTGAGTGAGTTTGCAAGTTTTAACCTGTTTACCACCAGTACGTTACTTTGAAGCACTTTCCAACGGTATACATTGTTACATTCTGCTTTCCATAGCCTACACACTGGTTTGTAGTGATTTCAGGACCGTTTCGAACTACAATTGCAGAGACTTGCTTGAGGTCGGTAACCCCTAAGTCTTTATTTATTGCCAAAATGACACAATTGTAGCATGGGATTGGGGAAATTGTAGAAATACATAAGCATGTTGTCTGTGATATGTTTCTGTAGGGTAGGCATTGTTAAGCGCAGAGGGTTTATGTTTGCAGTCATTTTATTAGTTGCTGGAGCCAAGAAAAACCTAATTAGGCCAGTGTGGTTAGGCCTGGGTGGAGCTGCACACCTGGCAGCTACTCAACCGAGAGTTAAAGAGAGACCTGTCAGTAAAACAGGCTAAATGCCTCTCTTTAACACCAGACTATCCTTTTTAAAAACGATTTACTCGTCTCTCCCTAACAGTATCGGTGTCTCACTAGGACTGCATCATAACACACTTCCACATTTGCCTCAACACCTGTTGAGCTGACTCTGAAATCGCAGATGTCAACTATATTAACATAGATATAAACAAAATGTTCAATTCCATGGCTCAAGCAAGTGCCAGGCTCCTCTGGATTTAGCATTGATCTCAAGCACTGCAATGTGGAAGATTGCCTTCAAAGGGGTGCCACTTCCAGGAACACCTCCCAGTCTCGGCTTTTGTATTTGTTGACATTTGTTGTCATCCATTGTAGGAAAACAACAGCACTGCCTTCTTCAAGAGGGGCTCTGTTCACAATTCCCCAGAGACATGAGTGGCAATGAAACGGCCATTTATGTTGACTGCATCGTTTTTGGGTGTTAATTTACGACCTGTAAAATTGGCGTGCCCTCTCAATAAGTCTGGTGGTCCTGTTTTACGACTCCCCCCACTGTCTCGTGGCGGGGTTGACCGTGGCCGAGACGCAGCTGGTCTGGACTGCAACAAACTGAAGAGGTCTCAGCTGCCAGGAGAGACCTTTCTCAGGCTTGAAGACTATTACCAGCCATTATTTCTCCTTGTTAAGCCAAAGCAGAGCCCACCCCGTTTAGCTTTTCTTACTTATCTAGTATGAGTGAATATAATTATCGCTGTTGTCACTAGATTCTGTTGCGACTCACGTGACAGTGACTTTTTTATGATTGGTTTAGTTTCAAGACATTCAAAGACAGACCGTCGATTTTGTTAGCTTTCAAGGAAGTAGCATCTTATTGTTTCTTTGGCTTTTTTAAAGCGATGTCGACACTTTTCATCGAGTCCTTTTGGGTTTCCGTGGCCATGTTCTCTGAATATGAAAGACCTGGATTTTAAGGGTCTAAGAACTTTAACTTAAACAGTGTGTTTGTAATTGTAACTAATAGTTTTTACTACTCTTACTACACCAAACTGTCACAGTTGACTAATCAGTTACTCAGGTTTAGGATAAAGTTATTTCTCTAATGCGATGGTGGCCACATAGTTCCCTTGTTATACGGATGTTTTGATGTAGTGAGTTAATTAAAGGCCTTGCTAGAAACGACAGTATAAGCCAGGTGTGATTAGAGACCTGTTCCATTCATCATACTGCCCCCCCCTTTAAGATTTCCTGTTTCTCTCTTCGGAAGTCTGGATCCTCCTGAATAGCAATTTTGATCAGGCTTAAAAAAAAGAGAACATAAAAAAGTGATTCGGAACACAAAGCAGATTTCTTTGAGAAATCCCTCAACTACTCTGCAGGCTTTATTGAACCACTGGGAGGATTGTTTTGACTCCACGCCAGAAAATGTAGCCCAGATACTCTCACATGATGTGACTTACTGTTCCCTCGACCTTTTTTTTTCTCGCCACAGTTAAGTAGCTTTTATTTTCCCAGACTTTAAATGATTGCTGGTACTAGTTTACTCTGAGGTGGGGTGCATGTAGTTACTCTGCTCTGAATGCTGTGATGCATTCCCCACGTTTGTGCTCTCGAAATGTTACCGCATGCCGAAGTAATCCGAGAGGAAATGACACAAATGTGTTTACAGCTGGCCTGTCCTCCCATGTCAGTGTAGGCCTCGGCTAAAATACGAGGGCATGAATTCCACCTTTGCCTCGCATGGAAAGATAAATCAGGCTGCGTGAGTAGTCTCCATGGGCGTGTTCATGAGCGTTGTTTATTTCTGTCTGTCTAATGTTGTAGTTTCAGCCTTGATACCCCTGTCTGTATTTCGTCTTTCTGTGCTCACCCAGCTCATATTTCTTTCCAGGTCTTGTTTAGTGTAATCAGGATGCTTTTCAGAGGAGCACCTGGGTTAGACAGTGCAAATAAGCGCACCTGGTTTTTGGGCCTCTACAGAGAAGCGCAGGATTAATGTCGGGAAGAAAGCAGGGATTTCCTCCCTCGCTGCAGGAAAAAGAACCCACAGTTTGAGGACTCATTGGAGTGCAGTAAACGGTCTTGTTTCACAGCAGAGCAAACTGGCAGTTAGGGTTACATTCTCATCTGGTTTCCTTGAGACTTCACTACATTTGTGGAGAAGTTTCCCTTTGGGTGTCAGATCTTTAAAACATCTCATGTTAAGTACAGACACGTGACTTTGGAATGCGCCGTCAGTCCATATGTCAATCATCTCATGTGTTTGTTCTCTTTGTGTTTGTGTAACTACAACACAGGTGCCTGCTGTCATCCGAGTCTTCAGAGGATTTTGTTTTTGTTGCTTTGCAGGCAAGCCATTGGTCTAAAGAAGTGTTCCTGTGTTTTTCATAGTAGTTCTGCAGTGTTTGTTAGCAAAATCCCGAAGGCGAGGCACCGACAGCTGTGCATTTAGTCAGTTCGCAGCCTTTTCATTTCACAGACCTGTTGAGGTTTGACTTTGCCAGGTTGCTCTAAGTCTCATTTAATCCCAGACAAACAGCTCAATTTAGTGCGTAGATATGAGGCAAGGCTGTGCGAGGCCTTCTGTCTAGTTAACTCTACTGCTCACCTGCTTTCATCCTGGTGTTTGCATATGGATCAGTTTTTTTCCATAGAGCTGTAAGGTGAATACCTTGCTGGAATGGCCTGGCCTGTTGGGTGTTGAAGGAGGATATTGCAAGGCCTTAAGTTTGATTTACAAGAATGAGGCTGCAACAACAGCTTGTACGACCCCTTTTTTACCTTGCACCAACACAAGGACTTAATGTTAAGTGCGATTTACAAAAAAAATCCTCATCGCAGTCTTTTCTACTCTTTGGTTCCTATTCTCAAAGTAAATCCAAGTACTGCAGATGTTTTGGATCATTCTTGGAACAAGAAAGTGCTGGTTAACTGCAATAATTACCTTGGCAAGTCGCAGCACCCCAGCCATTGGACCAGTTCCCCTTTCCACCTGAACCGAGGCCCACTTTTCCATCCACTATATTCAGGGGGAAGTCACTCTAGAAGGGGTTTTATGAGCTCAACTGCAGCTTGAAACTTATTTGAAAACCTGTTGAAGGGTTACAGCTCTCCGTTCTCGGGAGTTCTTTGTCTACAATCCTCCTGAGCATAAAGGAAGTGTTGAGAGAGCACAAGTTGGCTCTGTCCTTAAGACGCCATGTGGCTGCGAGGGGAGTGTGTAGTGGCTGGCCATTTTCAGTCCTCCTCTGGATAATGTGCCTCCAGCCAGAGGCGTGTGTTTTCGGAGGAGTATTTCCTCAAGTGAAATTAGGACTACCGTTGTCCTATTTACTCATTTTAAAGGTAAGATGAAATCGGGGCCAATGCGTTTAGTTACTCTCTGATAGAAAGGAGAAATTTGTGTTTTCCATAAATGTCGTTGAGATTTATAGCATCGGTATCAGGAGATACAGGATGTGAGATCTGGTAGGATCCCCCTGTAGCTTGTTCCTGGCTTGAGCTCAAGCAAGTCTTATCTGTGCATCAAGATAAGAGAGGTTCCCCTCCTCCATCGTTCGAGGCCTAGCCTGAAGACATTCCATAGACTGTTTTTCAGTCTGGAGACCTCGGGCCGACGTCCAGACACAGACTGTAAGGAAGCAGACGGTCTAGTTGCAGACGTCCTGAGGGCGCTGGAGATGTTGGTGGTTAAATGGCTCTCCATACAAATTTGACGCTTTGCTATATCATGTATATTGCTTGTCAGCAGTGCTATGTCTTTCTCACCAAGGCAAGTGTAAAGAAGACTCAATTTTGCAGCCGCAGCAGTTTCCAACGCACCGAGGTCACACTCGTGTCATGAGTAAGGGAGAGGGACGGGGCTACTGAAGGAGCGAAAGGGAGGCAAAGATAGGAAGGATGGAAAGAGGGCAAGTAAAGGGCTTATGACTCTCAGGAAGACAATTCCTCACAGTTTATTTTGACGGACCGTAGAGTCACAAGGCTAGAATTGTGTATTTATGCAGCCAGACTAGAATCATTCCCAGACATGCTGTTTAAGATTCATAATCTATTCTGTAAACCTCCGGGAAGAAAAAAGGCCCGTTTGTGCTGCGTGTGACCTCAAATAACTTAACGTCAATGTGGTTGAGGGTCTACTTGTGACCACTCCACATGTTTTCTTATAGACTTCCTGTTTGGTAAATGTCGGCATGATTGGCCATGCTTTCGTGTCGCCACGTTTACAAAATACATCAGTTTTTGTGCCCTCTTTGTTCCTCTGTAAATTGGCTTTGAATGCCATATGAAATTGTCAGGCCCGAACTAAAGATGACTGATATGGTGCAAAAGAGATTGTGTGGCTCAGGTCCGATCTGTTTGGTGGCACCTGGACGTTACTCAACATTTTCCAGATCCTGGTCTTCAAGGGTCAAAGGATACGTACAGATTGTAAAGGCACATTTGTGATATTGGACTACAGCAATTAAAATTGGCTCGACTGCTAGTTGGCCCCCAACTGAATGAGTCACTATCTTAAATTCTGGGGCATCAGTTGCCAACATTGTCAGCCAAACATTATGAGCTTAACTGCAAGTTCTGTGTTGTGTAAGGTGTTTTTGTGCTCTCTATATTATGTGGATTGAGTGGGGCATTCCTTAATTCACACAGGCCTCATGGTAAATGCATCCCATTGGCACGCTAACTATTCTGCAATATAAATGAGACTTTTGTGACCGCAATCTCTGGAGGCCCAGCATCTCTGCCTACATCATCAGATCATGTGTACGCAGGCGGTGATATATAATTTGCAGCCTTGTATATCACCATGTTTTAACATCTGCCATTTCAGCATTCAGAAGCCTGTGAAACACGGGAATCATTTGTGTGTGAGCACTCTCTCTGAGCGGCACGGAGCCAAGCAGCAAATCTACAACGAGCCTCCACTGTCCAACCCTGTAATAAAACAACCCCTCAACACCCTATAATGACTCCAATCTGGCCCCAGGATTGTGGGTGCAACTGGCATGTATGTCACCCCCCCCCCCCAGCTGGCCAGAAACATATGCTAACCACAATTCCCTGCTCGGGTTTGGTGCTGGGAGTTAACAGTGCTATTGATTCCTCCAGATCTTTTGGGAGTAGTTTGGGGAGAAAGTCTGGAACTCTCTGGGACTTAGGCACAAAAAGTGGAGCTTTACTTTGTCGTTAGGTATGCAGTGAATCAACTTGTGCCGTGAACGGGGGAATAAAGTGGATAATAACATCTGGTTTATTACCCGAGGAGGAAGCAATCAAGAACACACTTGGATGTTTTTCAAGCTTGCTTTTATTTTTGTGGTGATAAAGTTAGTCTATGACAAATTTTCTTCTGTACCAGGTTGTGTACTTGTTGCTTGTATTGAAGGTATATGCAAGACATACCTCAGTCTGCTGCTATGATTATCTGCATATTGCATTACATTTAATCAGGTGTTAAGCTGTAAGTATAAGTTTTCTGTAGACTCCTCTTTTGCTACCGTAATGCCAGAATGCTATACAGAATCACAACTGGGGCAGCATTTTGCCGCTGTTGATTGGTTCAGCTTTAAAAAGTAAAGCCCGCGTAGTGGAGGCTTTTCTTTACGACAGTATTGCAGAATCAATGTGTAAAAAGGGCATTTGCTGCTACAGATCAGATTATAACGAACATTCCCAGCTGATATTTTGGGTACTGTGGCAGGCTTTAAATTTATTAAATTAGATTTAGTGTGATATGAAACACATAAGCTGTCACCAAAAGGGTTTTTTATATTCAAACAACAGAAATGAATGGGTAATATTTTGGGGACTTTATTCATTTGATGCACATTACATTTCAATAGTTGTATTCTTTTCTGTTTCATTGAGTTTATTCAATTCTTCTCCCCACAGAATCTTGAACAACAATAACATTCAAGAACTCAGAAATGGGTCCTTCATTGGATTGTCTACACTTGAAAAATTGTAAGTATCATTATTATTTTCCGTATTCTGCCAGTGATTTGCATGGGGCATTAATGTACAGTATCTTTGTTTACAGCCATGTCTGAACTTTTCTCTGCTGTTGTTTCCAGTGCACTTTCAAAGAAAAGCTTTCCTCAGCAATTGAAATATGTGCATTAAGATTCACACTCCAAAACATTGAACAATCTCAGCTTTAAAAAGGGATGTTTAAGACATCAAGGCTGCATGTATCCATGAAAAATCACCAATGGACTTCACAATGGTGGGACTTTTGTTGTGAAATACCGTCACAATATTTCACATTATATCCACTAGTGCATTAGCAGTAGCCATACATCACTCCACAAATGAAGCCTGGGCTTGTGGAGTAGGTTTGTAAAACACATGTTGACCTCGGGGGAACATACTGGTCATAGAAAATGAGAGGGCACCCGCACAGCACTTAGCCAGTCAGGATTATCAGTCAATGGTAGAAGACTGGAGATGGCACTAGAAAAAGCTAATTATAGTTCTAGCCCCAAGGGTTGGTTATTGTCTGCCTGGCGACATACTCTCAACATACAGCTGCTTGCTTATTCTTGGGATGGGGCCCACTTTTTCTAGAGCAGTAACGTATAGGCACCTCATTGCTTACCCAGGGGAGAGGAGACGGAAATGAGTTCTAGAAGGTGAAGGCATTTGTTGGTATAGCCGTGGATAGTCTCTGAGATTGCTTGAACAACAGAGAGATGTCGTCCACACCACGTGACTCTGACTTCGGAGATTGGAATGTCATTACCCGCGTTTTCTTCCTACGGAGATTTTAAGAAAATGGCTCTGGGCCCGCACATATGGGCCATGGGTGATTTATCACTCTGGAATGGCTTCATGCAGATAAAATAACCAGAACTTTAATGGCCGTGCTTTTACCCAAGGCTACAATAACACATGACTGCACTGACATGGAATTCTAAGGGCACGTCAGTCTTATTGGTCTGGTTAAAAAGTCCCGAAATTATAGAAGGTATATGAGGCCAGAACCATTTAGCCTTGTGATATCAATTCAGAAATAAGATTTTGGTTCTAATCATCTGATTTAATTGGATGGCCATTCATTTTATGATTCACGTGCTTCCTGTTTCTTTGCTATACTTGCTAGACAAATCTATTTTTAACACATCATGCAGAGCTGGTATGCAGAATTATACACACATGTATAATACTGCATTTGATTCTACAAGTTTCTTTGTCATGGAACCTGCCGATACCCCTCACAGCTGTACTTCCAAAGTAAAAGTTTGTACATTATCATCCCTAGATTGTTTATAGATTTGCAGGATAACTCCCCGTTCGCTCCTGAATTGGGTCAAATATTAGTTTTAAGAGCTCAGGTCGAGAGGATAAACACGAGGCTGTGTGCTGAATGTGAAAAAGAAAACTTTGATCTTTCTCGGCATAGTGAGCCCTTAAGGCACTTATGTGCTTTGTCTGTGAACGGCCTGTCAATTTGGTTGTAAAACTCTGTCCTTCCTGTCTTTGCACCAATCCACAGGCCGGTTTACCTCCGAAAGCGGCTCCCATTGTTGCTCTGAGACCCCCCACCCCACTCCTGTCCACCCTCAACCAGCGAAGCGAGGTCGCTAGATGGCTTGCTTGCTTTTGTCATTGTAATGAAGCCAAGCCGAGACCAGAGGTGTCACCAGTACGATTTTCAAACGCACTCTGAATGCTGGAGCCTCTCCCTCTCTCAAATGTCCCTCTGCCCTCCCTCCTACCTTTTTATCACACGCCCCCTTTTTCTCCCCAAGCTCCCCAGTCTGTTTGAATGAGCCGAGGCTCTCCGTCTTGCCTTCCACCCCTCCTTCTTCCTGACTTTTCTTTCCTTTTTTTTTTTTTTTTTTAAGTCCACAAAGAAACTCTCCCTCATTTGGACTCTGCCCGTATGCAGTCGTGAAGCCTGAGACAGCAGCTGGCTGTGAGCGCCAGAGAGGGGTAGAGAATTGATTACGCCTATCCGGCACTCTGCATGAAATTGCAAAGTAACTGTGGAGACCGCTGTGTTTTGTCGGGGGCCAAAGGTGCCACTGCTTGGAAATAAGCCACACAGAATCCCCATTATCACACTCCTCATAGAAATAGGAGCCAAGCTAGGCGACCCTCACATGCTAATTCCTTGCTAAATCCGCTGCTGTGGAGGAATGCTTATTGTGGAATACAGAGCAGGGATAACCGCTCCAGTGTGCAGTGTTTTCTGGAGAATTAGTTCTCTATTCATGAATGGAACAATGCCTGTGGAAGTAAGCAAGTAAGACATAAACATAAAGTTAGTTTGAAATGGATATTGCAATACTGCTTTCACCAAGTCACACGCAATAAGACGCACCCTCGACAGCCTTGCTTTAAAGTGAACCTATGTAACTATGACAATTATAGGATGACGGTAAATGCTAAAATGTGACGGTAGCACAAGTAGAGAGGCGTAATAAAATAAGAGCACTGCCCTAAGTAACATGAGTAACATAGCCGTATCCGCTCAAGTTTTGCTAATATTAGACACCAAAAGTTGGTAAGTTCTTCTTTCAGAAGTTACATCGTCTCGCTAGAAACTGGATTTGTGCAGAGAGTTTGCACTGTAGGGAGGGAAATATTTTTAATGGGTTCTGTAGTTCTTATTAATTATCTATTAACTGGGAGCCATCCATCATTCCTTGCAACTGTTGGCTTGTTTAACACACATCAGTTGCTCTCTCCTCGGAGGGAATGTTGGCGTGATGCCAGGAACCAGCCATATGTATGTGTATGTGTATGCATATGTGTGTGTGTGTGTGTGTGTGTGTGTGTGTGTATGTATGTGTATGTATATACATACATACATACATGAAAAGCTGGTGTTTTTCTCTGCAGACGTATGAAAAAGGTGCCAGGTCATGTGTGGTCAGCGGTCTTTGGATTCTGAAGTGCAGTTATGGATCGTTAAGTATGGACTGGTTTGTCCATAAGTAATGGAAAAGAGTTATTTTTTTGTCATTAGTCGTAGTGGTTACTGCGGGCAATGTAGCAGGTTTCCACAGTGTGACTGATGGCTGAACTGTGGAGACCACCTGCAGATATCATTCAGTGACTCTGTCCTCTAGAATGAAACCATATTTAGATATCCTCCTTATTATTGGAACTTTTAAAACAACTTTTGTTTTTACATTCAAACCTTCAATACAGTAAGTGTAATTCTCATGTTTGATGTACGTAAACGCCTATATGTCAGAATATCAACAGTGGTGATAGTGTCTCTGTTATCTGGTTCAACCTCATTTTGTAACTAGCACATCTGACCAGTGACTCATCCGTAAGTTGGCATTCTGAACTTTGAGGATTGCTGTTTGTGTCCTGCTTTCCTTCAACTGTAACTACTGCAACTCTAAACAAAGTTTACATAAAAGTAAATTAGCTTCAAATTAATAGACTCGGCGTGTGTTCACACATCCTAAAAGTCCTAGAATTGGCCCTTACTGGCCATGAAGGTCTTGAAAGGCTGTCTTTAGATTATTTCTTTGTCCTGCTTTCTCATTCTTCTCTCAACACCCATGCACGGAGAAGCCATCTCTGCTAGCTCACATCAAAAGCTTTATCACGCGATAGGTTTCTGTCTCTGACTTATCTATGGCTACCTACCCACCTTCAGATGACAGCTCTCCCACATCAAACGGGCAGAGTTACCCAGAGGCCCTTTGTGTGGGTTCAGCTGGCGACTAGAAAGCCTCCTGAACCTCCACTGTAATGAGTGACTAGGCAGTGCCAGTGCAGGTGAGCACCGCAGGAATTCTGTGACCGCAAGCCTTTGAACCTCTGGGGAGGGAGGATGAGTGTGGGGGTGTGGGGGGGGGGGAGAGCCACAGAGCACCTTTGAGAGTCAGGTTTTCAATGACAACGGCTGTGCATTAAAGATCAGTGGGTGAGGTTGGTGGAAGTCGGGGTGCTCCAGTTGGATAGAAAAAGAAACCCATGTATAAATATACTCCACTGTGCGTATTCAAACCGTATTATCTTTTACTTGCCATGTTGATGCTTGCATGAAATGTTCATTTCAAAAGTCCAGCGGTGCTATGTAATTAGAAGATTTAACGATTAGTCTGCAGAATACGGAACCACGGCCTGCTAAAAGTTCATAACTCGTACCTATAAGAAAGTCAATAAAACGCTTAGATATATAGTTAGCATGAGTCGCATCCGATAGCAGCTGCAGATTATTTTTCTGTCGTTTGATGATCGACTAATCGTTGCAGCTCTACTATTTTGTTGTAGTTAACATTGCTCATGAAAATTCTCCTTTTTTCCCCGCTCCACAGGGACCTGCGGAGTAACCCGATCAGTCATATTGAACCAGGCGCTTTCCTCGGATTGCCAGCACTCAAAAAACTGTAAGTAGTGGTGGAGCTTCCGCAGCCTCACGGTCTCTTTCATGTGGTTTCTGCAAGTATGTGTGCACTCTACATTCACACACTTAGACCCTCTGGGACTACACTGAGGTCTTCTGTTATTATTGCACCCAGAAGATCTAAATCCTAGCTTTTTTTGTTTTGAAAGGCAGTTTGAAGCGCTTGCTTTAATTATTTGCCATGTGAGAACAGTGGCTTGTGAATATTTTAAGTGAAGAGAAGCCGCTTGTTCGATGTGTCCTCTTGTGATTATTTGACATTTTGAAATGTGGTTAAAGCCATTTTTCTTTTGGTATTTTAAAATTGGCAGAACTGTTGTGTTTTCATGAATATGTTGCGGATCCATGGGGTTTCGGGGCCGTGCAGGCTGTATGTGCAAGTGTTTATTCAACAGCATTTAGTCAGAGACTGCTCTCAGCAATGACACAATAACATATTGTGTTTGAAGCAGCTGCTATTTTGCAGCTATGCAATGAGTTGTGCATGTTCTGGCAGGTCTAGAGTGTGTCCAGTGTCCATAAGGGGGCATGGTCAAGCAGCGGTCTATTTCTACTGCCTTGTTTTCTCTGGCCCACTGCCAGAGACCACTGCAGACAGCATGATGCCTTAAATACTTTCACACATTAGAGAGAGGGGAGGCTAAATAAACGTGTGTGTGGTGTCTATGAATGTCATGCGACGATTATTTTGATATGCAACGAATACATCTGGGATATGCGGGGTGTGTGTGTGTGTGTCGGAGGTCAGAAGCTCTGTGTCTGTGTGTGTGTGTGAGTGTGAGTGTGTGAGAGAGAGAGAGAGCGCGCGCAAGAACACAGCATGACTTGGAATTCATCCGACAGTAAGCAGCCGCTGCCAACACAAACTTGAGCTTGGCTGCTGCTGGGGAGCAATAAGAGCGAGACAGGAAGGCAGTCAGCTCCTTGGCTCAGACCCGGTCTCATCACCCCACCCCCCCTCATCCTCACTGCATATTCATTCTACACTCGGATGGATTCATGCGTGCCTATGTGTCTTCTGAAGACTGAAGTCTTCACCCCCCCCCCACACACAAGCTTTTCATAAAGACTTTCCCTGTCATACCATGGAGTGATCTGCAACCGCACATGGATGTTTGTTCCAGGAGTACAGTTTTGTTTTTTGCCCGAGGGTAGCGGAGTTTAATTGGCCCCCGCCGCCCGCCTCGGTTAATTTCAAAGGGTGGTTGTCACTCACTCGACTGTGAAAGGGAGGGAGCACAGAAAGGGGAAGATGAGCGGAGGAGAGGATGAGGTAGTGCTGGACCCTGGGAATGTAAACACAGAAGCCCGACATCAAAGGTTGGCGTCCAGCACTACACATCCACTCTATTTATTCCCTAGTTTTGTAAAATGGGAGTGGAGTTAATTGGCAGCAAGAAGTACATACAAATAGATTTTTTATAAACATTTATTCGACATACCTTTGGCACATGCTTCTCCACCTTTCTCTTCATCCGTAGCTTTGATTAGCAGTCTTTGATCTGTGTGTCTACCTTCCCCCTCAGGATTACCTATTTAGATTTCTTCTCATTTTCAAGACACGCCTTTTGAAGGGGCCCATTCATCGCGTGTGTTTTGTCACAAAGCGGTGACGTGGGCTTTTAAAAAGAAGGCTGCGGAAGTTTGGATAATTGTGGGTTCCACACATCAAACACGTTAGTCTTTTTGAAAACGCTCAAACGGTAGTTGTAGTTAGTTTAGTCGTAGTCGTGCCATGCTCTGCTCCAGGGGCTACGCTGCAGATTAACTCGTCAAAAATGTAACTATGGATATACCACATTGGAACCACACGAACTGTGATTGGTCAGCATGGACTGCTACTGATGCCAGTAGAGATTTCTGAAAGTGAAGACATCTTGAAACAAGTTATGGGGAAAAAGGCTCAGATTTCTCCTCCTTTTCAGTAGCAAAGTGCTCTCCACTGTGAATGTTCTGCTCACCACAACTCTCACACATTGTCACGGTGAATGTAACCGTGTGACCTCCCTGGAATAGTCTCATATTTAGTAAGTCGGCGAAAGAACGTCAACACGGGTCACTGTGGGAATTATAATCGGAGCATGATGCGATGTTGCAGTGGTGCATTACCAGGAGAAATCAAACACTGAACTATAAATCAAAACCTGTATGTGTTTCTGCGGTGTGACTCTCGTTAACCCTTCGCCTCGACCATAAATCCAATTTATCTCTGTCCTTGACTCCGTGTTCAACACGGCACATGCCAACTAAAGTGGATACATGAAAGAAATGTCAGCTGTCACTTTTGCATCTCAGGTTTTTCCTAACGTGAGGTTGAATTTATTAAGTAATTTTAACCGTCAGTAGGAAAGAAAAGTGCATCCCTTACTTCACTTCCTTCAAATGTATTCAAATAGCCTCAACACTCAAACCCTATGGACTCATCCGGCCTCAGTGCTCCTGACTGTGCATTCCACTGACAGCTGAACAGTCCCCGCTCGAGCCTAATCACATCGGGCTATTTTTTTTTACCACTGCTCCTCGTATCATTCACAACAACTCGAGCCCCGCACTGAAACAATCCTCCGTGCTGTTAATGTGCCACATGCCCGAGGCTGATGGTGTTTGGTATTGAATACCAGTCGACTAGTAAAAACAGATGGAGAATAGAGACGTGAGTCGTGTGTAGCCAGACAAGAAAAAAATCCCTGATGTGCATGAGTTATGTTAGTTCTCACGATTCTTGAACACAGTAAAAGTGAGTTAAAGTAATAACAGTATTCGCCATCTTGTCTTAAGGCCCTTGAGGTGGCTGTATCTCTAGGATGGGAAGTGAGATGAAAGTAGGCCTTTAGCTAGCGGAGAGCCTCCTCCCTCTGTCGGCTGTGTTATCCTTCCCCCGACACACAGCGCTCGCACAAATTGGCACGCCCTGCTATAGGCGGCTTTTTCTTCTCTTCCAAGTGGAACTAATAACCTCACACAGTAAATTCCCCAGCTGGTACCTTAAGGACCAACACCAATAATTACATAAATGTTCAGATGTTAGCGTGTGCCTGACAGACGTTTTCCAGGTATCATTTTGTGTCAGTATGGCATATTCCTGGAGCACCCCAGGACACAGTTTAGCTGGTGGGTCGAGGTAATGATCTGTCTATTCTCCCAGGCTCTTGTTTCTTCACATGGCACTTTTCCATGATTGGATCATTCGCAGAAGAATATATGTTACAGCTATTGTGGAAAGGTGCTAAGAGTCTGAGTCTTTGAGTCACTATGGCTGTGGTTCTCTCTCTGGGAAGTTAAAGAGCGTGATTGTGTTAAAGAGCATGATTGTTCAAATGTGTTTACCTTATTTCTCCAAAAAAACAAACTTTTATGATAAATAATAACCTAATTTTGGGGTTTGTGGGGTCCCAAACCACAGGTGGGGAAGCAGCGTATCGGAGCATGGTGTGCTAAAGTTAACCTGGAGCCTCCAGTGAACATTTTGTCTTTGCAGCCACTTCTAAATGTTTGCACGTTGAGTGTAACGCACAGTGGCAGGATCAGTCTTTTCCGTGTTCGGCCGCAGAGTCGCCTTTGATTCCCTCTGAAAGGCATCAGACACTTCCATCGGATGTTTGCCAGAGACATCATGTCAGGTCACATCCAGAGGAAAAAACACACACTTTTGACATTTTTTTGACGTAAATCACAGGCGATTAATCGTCTCCCAGAGTGTTACCCTGCCTTTGATGTGTAGGTTCTCCCTGGAGGCCCACACGGACACACTGTCTCAAATCACCTTGAACGTTGTAGTCCTGTCAGCTGAATTTTTGGGCTCTTTGCCTCAACCCGTCTGTTAAACTTAGCTTTTTTTTTTCCTTTTTTTTAAACCCTGGTACGCTTTATCTCCGCAACGTCAGCAATTAGTATCATTTTTTTCACGTAATACAATCACATTTTTGTTCCTTATGTTGGAAAACATAGCAGCCCTAATGCAGCTTGCTATTAGCTGCCATGTTGTGTTGTTTCTGAACCCTGGAAGAAATAAACAAGAAACTATTCTTTCTCTGTACCACAGGGACTTGTCCAACAACAGCATCGGCTGCCTCAACGTGGACATCTTCAAGGGTCTCACCAGTCTGATCAGACTGTAAGTCTGTTTAATAAATATATGAATGGTGTGCTGAAACAAGCATTTATGTAATAGACTAAGATACATGATCAGTGTCTTCTTCTTCTCCAGAAACCTTTCAGGGAACATGTTCTCTTCATTGGCCCAGGGGATCTTTGACAGCTTGGTGTCTCTGAAGTCTTTGTAAGTATGATGAGAGCAATGTTACTTTGTACTGAAATAAGATGCAAGCGGGACATCTGAATGTCTCCAATGAAAATGACTGCCATTTTTTTTTTTTTTTTTAACAAGTGGCGTAGAAGTCATAAAACGTGTGTTTCTATACACCCACAGGGAGTTTCAGACGCCTTACCTGCTGTGTGACTGCAACCTCCTGTGGCTGCTGCGTTGGATCAAAGAGAAGAACATCGCGGTCAAGAACACCAAGTGCTCCTTCCCCCAGTCTCTCCAGGGCCAGCTCATTACCTCCATCAAGCTGGAGCTCATCACCTGTGGTAGGGGACACAAACCTGGAAAAAAGCACACATTACGTCCATAGATTTGACACAGCGAAACGATGTCGCCCCAAAATAATAGTTTTAACACTCTGAAACGGAGTCATTTGTCATTTCGGTGACACGTTCTGATGCGTCATTTGTCCAGTCCCAGACATCTTGAAAGGTTGAAATAAGTCATGTTGAATTGTGGCACAGATTGTCGTGTCAAAACGGCGCACAGTCTCTTTAATGTTTCTTTTTTTTGGTATCAGCAAGGCTGCTGGTGTTTGGAGAACAGGGGCTTGTGCAATGACACGGGAGATAAGAAAAGGGGCTGCCCAGGCCAGTGCTGCCTTTGTTTGTACTTGCTCATGTCTTATCAGTTTGGCACTCATCACAGTGAGGGATTATGAAGTACATGGCACAGATCTAGCAGGAGCCGTGGCCTGACGTGAATGACAAAGCACCCAGAATTCAAGGCGCCGTTGTAGTTTCCCCGTGTGTCCAGAAAGTGCAGAGAGTAAAACAAAAAGGCGGTATGTTCAGAGACAATGGAATAAAAAAACCTTTTTTGTGACAAATATGAATCAAGAGATATTTTTCCGTGAGAGGTGAAACCCCGAATCTCCTTCTAAATATTTGTCTGGTCTCCCCAGATGCTCCACTCGAGCTGCCCTCATTCCAGCTGACTCCGTCCCAGCGTCAGGTCGTCTTCCAGGGGGACAGCCTGCCGTTCCAGTGTCAGGCTTCCTTCGTGGTCGAGGACATGCAGGTGCTGTGGTACCAGAACGGCCGCATGGTCAAGTCCGACGCCGCCCAAGGCATCTTCATCGAAAAGCACATGGTGCAGAACTGCTCGCTCATTGCTAGGTACGGCAGTGTACATTCATGTTTATGGAATCCGAAGGTGGAGAACTGTATTCATTGGCATTATGAGGAAAACAAATCGCTTATTATTTCATTGACATTGTTTTGTTAATTTTCTGGAATTTCTCCTCCATGTTTCCCCATCAGCGCCTTGACCATCTCAAACATCCAGCCTGGTTTCACCGGGAACTGGGAGTGCCGGGTCAGGACAAGCAGGGGCAACACCACCAGGACCGTCCACATTGTTGTGTTGGAGAGTTCCGCTGAGTACTGTGCTCCTGAACGCATCTCCAACAACAAGGGAGAGTTCAAGTGAGTGCACACAGTAACGCATAAGCAGACACAGAACTTCTCACTTATACTCGTCGCCTTGAGCACCTCCATCCATAAATACATAGATCCACTCTCACAAAGTGAATACACAACTTTGAACCAGTTATATTTGAAGCTGTTGCGTGTACAGCATGCTGTCATGTCAAGCACGGTGGCCCCCTCTTGTGGTCAAACATATGAATTACTTCAAGGCTTTAGCCACAATCATTAAATGACTCTGTTGCTGTTGAGGTTATTCAGAGTAAGAAGAAAATTAAGGATGTAGCGTGTGCCGGTTAATGAAGAATGGAAACAGCAGGACTGTTTTATTGGGCTTCTTCCAGGTGGCCGCGCACCCTGGCAGGGATCAGAGCCTACCTCCCCTGCAACAGACTGCCGTCGAGCGCCGGCATCTACTCGGGCGGCTCGGCCGAAGAGCAGCGGGCGTGGCGCTACTGTGATCGCAAGGGGCTGTGGACGGAGGACTACTACTCCCGCTGCCAGTTCCAGAACGATGTCACGCGGTTTCTATACGTCATTAACCAGGTGTGTATCTGAGATTTCACTTCTGTAATCGCTGTAAGCTCTTTCACCGAGTTCCTCTTCTTCTGCCGGTCCCTCTCTGCTTGGACCATTTCAAACCAGATCCAGACTAATTGTTCTCTGTGCATCTTTCTGCTAGATGCCTCTGAATGAGAGCAATGTGGTGGCCAGGGCTGGGCGCCTGTTGGTGTGCACGATCGATGCTGCCAACTTCTCAGACAAGATGGACATCATCTTCGTGGCCGAGATGATTGAGAAGTTCGGCGTGTTTGTTGAGAAGTTTAAAGACGTAAGTACGACAGAAACCGCTCTTCTGTCCGTGAACTTGTTACGAGCTCATGTTCAATGCGAGGAATGCATTTGGCGTTTTACCTCGTTCAACGACAACTAGATTAATGCTCAACAGCTGTTTGTCGCCATGTTGTTTAATGAAAAAAGATGTCTTGTCACGACTTTCAGCACAGCTGTAGGCCAACAAACAGAAAAAAAGTTTTCAAAGGAAAGGAGCTCCTGGCATGTTGTAACTGCTTTAGGCAAGGAGCACTATACTTTTAAAGCATATTAAAAGTTCTGCTTGGCGACACCGTGCTTGAAATGTGTTTCCAATAGTCACTTAGCCATGAGTCTCCCTCAAGCATGCGTTGAAGGCTGTTTGATGCAAACAAGATGTGGCTTAACATGTTCAAGTCTTATGTTTCCATTCAAGTCATTTCGAATATAAGCCGTCGTGCTGCTGCATGGAGTAAGCACAGAAGTGTTCCTAGCTGTTGAATCTGCACGGGCATTCACTCAAGTCCAAATGTTTTCTCGTCACGCAGCTGGGTGAGGTGATGATAAGCATGGCCAGTAACTTGATGCTGGCCGACGAGAGGGTGCTCTGGATGGCTCAGCGTGAGGCCATGGCCTGCTCCCGCATCGTCGCCTGCCTCCAGAGGATTGCTGTTTACCGTCTGGCCACAGTACAAGTCTTCTCCCTGGTTAGTCCTGTCAACACTATGGGGCCCTGCTTTTTTTAGTACATTGACGATAGCTAGCACGGTTAGCGTAAATCGAGTAAAATTCCACCATTCCTGTTGTCCTTCCAGACGTCCCCCAACATAGCACTGGAGGCTCACATTGTCAGAGCCAACGACTGGAATGGGATGACCTGCATGTTGTTCCAGAGGTCCAGCCCTGAGCGCACACCCGGACAGGACCGCCAACTCGCCTTCAAATGCAACACAACCAGCTCCTTCTCCAGCATCCTTCACAAGGTCAGCCCCCTTCTGGAGACAATTACAATTCGTCAGCAGGTTGTTTTGGACGAGGTTTTAGTGTGGGGGGTCAGTTTTGCTTGCGGCAAAACACATTAAAATGATGAACATAAACAAAACAATATATCTATTATATCTAATATAAAATGGTTCGATTTTATACTTTTCTTTTGTCCCTGTAGAGCCCCATTGTGGAGGCGTCCCTGCAGCTTCCTCAGTCTCTCTTTACCCATGCTGCGCTCCCCGGGCAGGCAGAGGACATGGTCTACAAGCTCCATCTTCTGGGCCTCCGCAATGGCAAGTTTTTTCCCTCCACCAGCAACTCCTCCCAACTGGCTGATGGTGGGAAGAGGAGGAGTGTTGCCGCCCCGGTAATCATGGCCAAGATAGGTGAGACATAACGTTTCAGTGTAGCCGTTGAGAGGAGAAACACTGACACATAATGCTACCAAGAATTTACAGCACGGCAAGAACCAAATAGGTGTTTGTGTTTTTCCATCAGAGGGCATGTCCCTGCGTGTCCTGAGGACGCCCGTTAACATCACCCTGCGGCGGTTTGCCCGCGGCTCAGATGCTGTGTCCGCCCGCTGGAACTTCAGCCTGGTGGGAGGCCACGGAGGATGGCAAAGCGACGGCTGCCGCATTCTGAGCCATCACGACAACTTCACCACCATATCGTGCAACTCTCTGGGGAACTATGGTCTGCTGATGGTAGGTCGGGTTATTTCCTATGTTCATTGTATAACATAGACAAATTAGGGCATTGCTTTTTTCTTTTTTCTTTACAATATTGCGTAAAACTGAGGATTTCTCACCTCATCTGTCATGCAGGACCTCAGCAGTGCGGAGTACCTCTCTCCAAGCATCCAGCCCCTGCACCCAGTCATCTATACCACTACTATCATACTTCTTATCAGCCTGCTCACCATTATTATCAGCTACGTCTACCACCACAGGTAATTGTTTTGCTTTAATTGATTGTAATTCATTCTTTTTGCTTTTATTTATGTTTGCCCGGGAGAAATGCATTTTCTATTCTTCGCCTTCTTTGGCCATCATATTCACGTTGCTGTAAATGTATCATCCCCACAAATATTGTCAGTTTTTGCCCAGCCCCGTTGGGGTAAAGACAAAACTGTCACCATTCAGATCTGTGTCAGCATAAACAACTGTCCCATCCATAAGTAAGAAATGCTTGCACACGACACGTTTGTCCTTTTCTAATTCTGTGATCCGTTGTTTCTGTGACCTCAGGTCTGTCCGTGTGAGCCGCAAGTTCTGGCACATGCTGGTCAACCTCTGCTTCCACATCTCCCTCACCTGCGGAGTCTTTGTCGGCGGCATTAATCAAACGCGATATGCAAGCGTGTGCCAAGCAGTGAGTATACACCAGCGGGACTCCTCCAACACTCCCGCTGTGCTTCTGTCCAAATTTATGTAGTCAGCAAGTCAAAAATGAACAAGTGCTTCCAATGTTTTCAAGGGAAAACATCTTGGGAAATGTTGCCTTTGGCTAAGTTCACAGCGCTCATAAAAAAAGATGTGTGGAAACGCAGTAAAAGATGCATAGAAAGATTGTCTCCATGGCTGGAGGCCATCCTGCGCCTCCCATCATGGTGTTTTACTGAGACACGTTACTTGTTCATTTTTCATTGCACAAAGTACCTGGATGAAAGTTTTTGGCAGAAGTTTTTGTATATTTATGTAATCGCCTCTGGCATAAAGATATATCTCACAAGGTGATTTTTCAACTCAGGCTGATGAAGACATACTCGATTAAAAATAATGCCACAGGGCCATCATGCCTTTTTGAAATACTCTTCTGCCCTGCATTCCATCGTTTATATGTTTTTGGGGTGAAATTTAACAACAGGTGCAGTCTATCATTCTGACATAGGGGGATTGATTGCATTTTTTTTTTTTTTTTTTTGCTTTAGTAAATGTCATGCATATAATGCATATAATTCAATCTCTTCTAGGTGGGCATCCTGCTGCACTATTCCACTCTGGCTACGACTCTGTGGGTGGGGGTGACTGCACGCAACATTTACAAACAGGTGACGCGCAAGCCCAAGCGCTACGAAGAGCTGGACGAACCTCCACCACCACCGCGGCCTATGCTCAGGTACAATACCAGCACTCCTGCATTGCAACGGATGCGTGGCAAAAATTAATACATTTGGGTTTTTCTTAGCTTGACAGGGCAACTTCACACGTTAGCACCTCCAAGTAGCAGCATTAGCTAACCCTTGAGTATCAGACTTTGCTGCTCCAACGTCATGTAACATGTCAGTGAACTGCAGGCGGTTTTATGATTACCAAGCATGCGTTACTGTGGCTCTTAAAACCAACCACAGGGTGTTTTTGACATAATCAGGTAATGTGTGACCCCTTATTTTTATGTAGTTAGAAACATGTACATGTTTGTGTGTGTATGTCAGCATGATGTGCATTTCGAAAGAGAGAAGAGGTGAGTATGTCATTGAGCCTTCTCTTGTTATGAGTGGTCATGATTGTTGGTGAAACTGCCACAGGGTGTCAGTGTAGAGGCCTGGTGTACCATTGGACCCCTGTGTGCAGTTCATGCCTGCTTGTCATCCTACAAACAGAGAGACTAAAGCAGAACCACCCCTCTGTGCTTTCTCCAAAAGGTTCTACTTAATCGGCGGAGGGATACCCATCATTGTCTGTGGGATCACTGCAGCAGCTAACATCAAAAACTACGGCAGCCGGACCAATGCACCATAGTAAGCAGTTCCTGTATTGAAAGCAATTACTGTTACCATCCCTGAGTAGCAGCTCATGGTAATGCTTTATCCATTTATGCGGATAACAGCCTTTAAAAGCTCTCTTGGGCCTGGATGCTTCTATTTTACATTCTGTCCTCAGGAGGAGTTGGCTTTAGTTATCGACCGGCCAAGCTGCGCTGCTTGAGTAAATAATGGATATTTTTTACGAGGGTAGGAAAAGTTTATTCCCTGAAGTTCTGATTATGGGGGCCTATTAATGGAATGCGCATCCAAGCAACAAGCAACTGCTGCCAGTTTACGGCGAGCTCCCCCGCGCCCCCCTTCAACAGTAGCAGCTGTTTAGATGGTGCGACGTGGCCGACTAATTGAGAAATCTGCACCCGTATCTGTCTGAAGTCTTTGGAGTTTAATTAATTTCTTGCAAGCAAGATGAACCCACAGCCTGCGTTATTAAACGTAATGGGGCAGTTACTGTAAAAACGAGACGCAAAAAGTTTTGAAAGAGTTATTTTAAGTTTGAAGTAAATAATGACAGTGACCGATAAAGATGATGTTGTTTTAATGAGCGCTGTTGGCAATTTTCCTTTTTAGGAGATGCTATATAATTTAAATGATTGCTAAAAGATGATCTTGATGTAATTGCAGGGAAAAGACTCTTAAAGAATATTAAAAGCCGCATCTATTATCTTACTGTAAATGAAATGCTTGATTGGTCCCATCTGTCTTTCCTCCTCCTAGTTGCTGGATGTCTTGGGAGCCCAGTATCGGGGCTTTTTATGGTCCAGTGGGATTCATCATCTTCGTGGACTGCATGTACTTCCTCAGCATCCTGCTGCAGCTGCGCCGCCACCCCGATCGCCGTTATGAGCTCAAGGAGCCGAGCGAAGAGCAGCAGCATCTGGCTCCAGCCAACGGGGAGGCCGGGTCAGATGGTCCCAGCAGCCCCTGCCACCCCCTCACTCTCCAGCTCCAGCCTCACGAGGCTTCGTCCTCCGTAGCGTCCGCTCCCCACCCTGTGCCCCTGTCGGCCCTGGAGAACGAGCACACCTTCGCCGCCCAGCTGATGGGTGCAGCGGGGGCGTTGGGGCTGTATGCGGCCCTCTGGGTGTTCGGGGCCATGGCTGTATCCCAGGACCACCCCTATGACTTAGCTTTCACCTGCCTGTTTGGGGTGGCCGCACTGGCACTGGGCGCGTTCATGGTGGCGCATCACTTTGTCAACAGGCAGGACATGAGGCGCTATTGGTCCCAGGCCTGTTGCTCCGGGAGACGAGCCTACTCCGAACAGGAGGATGCTCTTCTGCCTCAGCCAGGCGTGGCAATGACATCCACAGCAGGATCAGCTAGCAAGGCGGATGGGGAGTCAACGAAGTGCGGCCAGAGCAGCGCAGACTCTTCTTACACAAATAAGAGCGCGCCGAGCATGCGTAACTCCGCCCACGGCAGCAAGCTGACCAATCTGCATGCAGAGGCAGCTCAGTGCAAGTCCGCCCCGGCGCTGGCGACCGCCAACGGTGCAGCTGTTTTGGACAACAGCCTGACGGAACATTCACTAGACAATGAAATCAAAATGCACGTAGCGCCAGTCGAGGTGCAGTTCCGCCCGGTGAACAACATCAACAATCCGGTGGCGGCCACCAACGGACACGCGAGCAGGCACCACAAAAACAGAGCGCGGGCGCACAGGGCGAGTCGGCTAACGGTGTTGCGAGAGTACGCCTACGACGTCCCCACCAGCGTGGAGGGCAGCGTGCAGGGCAGCGTGCAGAGCGCCCCCCACAGGCGGCACCACCATTACGACATAGCGGCACGCAATAGCCGTCGGGCAGCATACATGGCTTACAGAGAGCGGCATCAGAGCCAGCTGCAGCAGGACAGCAGTGACAGCGCGAGCCTGCCGCGCCGCCCCCGCGCCGCAGATAAAGGAGGCGGCAGCAGCACCCTGGGGAACGGGACGGTGGTGACTGAGGAGGCCGAGTGCGTGGCTACCGCTGCTGGGTCATGCTCAAGTAAAGACTCCGGTCCTGTACAGCAGACAAGCGGCACAGAACTAGACAGCCAACCCAAGTCCTATGGGCTCAACCTTGTCACTCAAACCGGTGGCACAGTTAAAGAAAACGGCCATGCAGTGCCTTTAATTAACACGGAGAGTGCAGCCAGTGTAAAGACTGGCTTGTGGAAACATGAAACTACTGTGTAGCGAGCGTTTCCGTCCCACAGCCTGCATTGTGAGGTGCTCTCACCTTTTTAAACTGTGAAGTGTCTCTTTTTTTTAGTTTTCCGATTGTACATTTATTTTATGAACAATCAAATCATTACTGCCACTGAACTATCTTTGTCAATATGTTTTTATTGTAAATGGTCTATTTTTATAACTTTTTCAGAGTTCTGTACTGCACGGTCTGAGCTGTGGCCCGATGCGTACCCTTACCCCGGCACTCCCCCCCCCCCAGTTTCTAGTTTGTCCCAACAATAATAAAACAAAAGTTCTGGTTACCAAATTGTGAAAGCTTTAATTCTTGTGATAACACCGACCATCTCCTCTTGGGTCTGCAGCCAGTGCAAAGGTGAGCCATGGCGGTTTTGTTTCCAAGAGTTACTCTCACTGACTATGTATGACAAGCTGGTAATTGGGTTTTTCACCGACCTTCAGCTGGCCTCGGGTTCCCCAGCTTTAATTGCAACTAGCTGGTGGCTTTGGGCTCTGTAGGTGTTTTCTCCCTGCCTGCTGGCAGATTTGATGAGTGCACTTGTACACCTTGGGTTCCTGCTGACTTGATGCCCGGGCTGAGACTGACAGCCGACTCACAGAGCAGCTGCCATGAGAAGAAAGAATAATGAGAAGAGTGTATTCCTCCTTTTCCATCCTCCGACTCCTCCACAGCCTGAACTAGAGTCCCGCTCACAGCTTGACATTGCTGTTGGCCAGAGAGCGTATCGTATGATTTGACTGCTGAGCATTAGATGGAGTCGTATGAATGTATCTGACATGGTGGTTGTGTCGGCAACAGCCACGGGCCATTCAAGTCTGATGTTGAATCAGGTCTCTGATTTTGTAAGGGGGATTCAGACATTTTTAATAAGTAGGGCAAGTACCGTGAAATTATTTTCATAAACTCCATGGAATTTCCAATATTATGAAATAAGGCAATTACTACCTACTTAAAGTGATATTCACGTCTTCTCACAGCATGCCACTGACAACCATCTTGAAATGTGGGAGGTCGTGCTGCAAAAATATGCCCGTAATTTTCCACATTTAAGAAGTGATGAGTGGTCATCGCCTATTGATCGACTTGTCAGTGGCAGAAGACGCGGCGAGCTGGCACGGCTCCAATAGCTCCCGGTTTTCATTAATGGCATATTAATAAAAGACACATTTCACTCAGGCAAAGATATATCGCCCAGCCATCTTGGATGTGACAAATTATAATAAGACTTCTGAATAATGTAGCGAGCAGTTACGCCTTGATTCGTCGGAGCCTCGCTGATTCCCTCGAGGCATGAAAGAGTGATCTCCAAATAATTGCCACGGTTCTGTAGCGTTGCCGTCTGTTCTAAAGTTCATCATAGGGCGTCAGCGAGGCAGAAATGACAATCGGAGGATGTTTGTGCTGTGAGGGGGGAAAAAAGCTCATCGGGGCAAATCAAATGATGGTATCTCTGCTTCAAGATCACAGGGACACCTTGGGCAGAAATCAATAATAAATTAAGATAAAACAAATTGAGTTATTCAGATCTTTTCTTAGTCCCAGTCAGAAGTCTGAGGGTCAGACATAATACATCAGAGAGTCGTATTCAAACACCCAAAGCATCAGCTTCTGATAAACGGTCTATTTTCAGATAAAGTGATGATCCCTCCGTGAAGTCTCTCTTCCAGCCAGTTTCCACTTAGTGCGCTCTGTGGAGCATAGCTGAGCTCAATTCCTCACCAGGAGGCCCAGGGACGACCGGAGTCAGACAAGTGATGTGTTGTTTACATTTTCCAATCGCTGCTCGTGGCGCCTGGAGGAAAGCATCTGGCTCTGTTGTGGAAAACTTGCCACTGGAATGGAGATTGATACTTTTTTTAGAAAATGAAGCCATCTGACAGTGTTGATTGTAATTCGGTGGCTCTGGCCGTCCAGGGGAAGCAAAATGTTTTTTTTTACCTGTCGTGCACTAATCACCCAAAAACCTCCGAGGGCTGACGTACAGATTAAAGCATTAATTAGCATCCAGGGTTTGTGATCATTGCTGTCAGCGTCAAGCAGCTGTCTGCTAAGATAATTGGGGAATTTATGGTAGGTTGGTAAGTTTCTTTATTTTGAATATTTGCAAATGAGGCAAAGTCACATCAGTATGCATGTTGTGTTACAGTCAGGGCTTTTCCAGCAGAGTCGCACAATACTGCTCAACTTTATTGTTTTAAGACAAATGCATAATTGCTGAGCAGAAACTGACAGTTGTGCTTCACATGACAGGGATACTCTGACATAAATCATATTAATTGCCGTTTTATTTTTCATCAGAAATGTGTATAACTTGCAAGATATGTTTGCATATCATTTCCTAAAAAATAGCTTAACCTCACGTCTTCACAGAAGCCCCAAAATTTGACTGTGCAAATTAGCATTTTGCAATGCCAACTTTGTTTTTATGCTGATAATGCTGAACAGGAATAGAAACTTTGCCGTCCATGTTTTGTTTCCGATTCAAATAAGTGAAAGTGAAAAGCATGAAAATGACTCAAATTGATGGGAAATGCAGATTATTCTAAAGAGAAGGGAGCGTGTTTCAAACTCCGGTCTTTAGTTTGTTTTCTCAGTCGGCAAACACTCCCAAGATTTGTAATCAAGCTGAACTTTGATCTTAGCTCGACATTGCTGATGGCCAACCTCAATGTCAGAGGTGTGTCAGCATTTATTGTCCAGCTGATGGAAGACGTTTCAAAGGGAAATAACTCTTCTGGGGCTGCGTCCTAAATGTGCATAATCAAATGCCACCTGTCTTTTTAGCCATTGAACTTTTTTTTTTTTGTCACTACTGCAGTTGGTCTTACGGTGTTCTTCGGGTTCAAGACTTCTCAAAGACAAAGACGCGGGCCTATCGCCTCTTTGAATTACACTCTTTGGCAGCTGTACATTAATGTGTCCTGAATAAGATAAATGCTTTACCTTTCTGTTTTATTTCATTCAAACTGATTTAGGTGTCTTGGCAGAAGAGCTGGTTGCAAGTGCCATCTTAAATAATCTGCCTGTCAGCGGTTGGAGAATGCAACTCCATATATCATCTTGTCAAATCACCCAAGACTGCAAAATCAGCCACAATTTCTGCCTCCTAATTGACTCCGAATGACAAACCCGCAGTAGTTTCCATTCTCGAAGAATGTGTGTGGTGAAGATATTATGTTAATTTTTTTTTTTAACTGTGTGATGTGTAGATGAATCAAAGTGACGAAAGTCCAATATGTTCACACTCTCCTCATTAAACACAATGCAGAGAACCTTGTGCAAACCAAAATATATCATGATTCAACTTTGGGCACTGAGAGCAGGACAGAAATAGATGCTCATTTGGTGATCTCGAGGGAGAGGGCAGTGCTCTGCTGCTGGTTTGATTTCATTAGATCAGAATCACGCTTGTGTGTGTACGTGTGTTTTTCCGGAGTCATTTCAAATGATAATTCCTGATTTGTATTCCGACAACCTGGACTTTAATTACATGCTAAATGAAAGTTCACGGCGGAACCATAAATATGTGTCTTATATTTTATCAATTTTCTCCTTATTCTTCATATAATCATCAGGAAAAATGAGGTCACTCTCTAATGTCACTTTCCATCTTTTTCTCACAAAGTCACACACACACAGCCATATCATGATGACATCAAGCCATCTGCAGAGCTCCCGTCCCCATGTGTTGGTGGCCCTTTGCTCTCATTAATGCCCTCACACTGCCATCCATCTACCTGTGCCAGTCTGTCGGAACAGATTTTGGCTTCATCTTTCTGCCCAGGTGCTCTGTTATTTATAGCCACCTCAAAAACAGTATCACTCATTGTTCATAGTGACAGTTTCAGACAGTAGCCCTCTCACACACACACACACACACACATCTGGAAATGTGAAGGTTGTCTATTGGAATGCATTTCTTCTTGTCTACAAACTGTAGGGCTTGTGATGAGGCTTTAGGCATATATGGATGGAGATTGTTTTTAGTGTTAGGTTATTTTGTGCTCACTACTACAGTATGCACGGTTTCCCCTCTTTTGAATTGTATGCTAAGCAAAGCTAACCCGCTGCTAGCTTCATATTTTAAAGACAAATAGGAGAGCGGTATCGATCTTATGACACTTTTTACCAGAAAGGTAATCACCATAGGATACTCCCCAAAATGTCAAACTTTTGCATTATATTACAAGTTGAGAAGTAATTTGATTGAGGCTCACTGGTGCAATAAATATGCTTGCTTTATGGGCTGAACAAGTTTTATTGCATAATAATCTCAAAACTGTTTTCAGATTTGATTAAACACTTTAAATATGCTTACAGTGCATAAAGGCAATATCAAACATCTGGCAAACTGCAGTTTATATGCACCTTTCACCTTGACCAACACCTGTCTTGATGAATCGTCAATCCAGGTCAGGTAAGTAGAACGTGTAAGCACCGGGTACCTTTTCATTTGCATATGATTCATGTATATTCCAGAAATAAATGTCTAAAAATACCAGTAAATGGCTTCCGCTTTCATGATTTGTCTAAAACGGTCTATTGTGTTTTACAGTGAGACAGAACATTGTATCCTTTGTGGTATTCTTGGGAGACAGTTGAACAATCCGTTGCAAATTGGAACAGATGTGCTATATTGTGAAAAATGTTTTTACCTTAGCTGATAATTGTCTTGGCTTGCTAAAAGCAGGCCTGATTTTTCCAGGTGTATCTGTTCAGTGTGGACTTTATAGTCGGCTGGGCTTGTTTCATTGTATGGCTACAGCTATGTGTGGAAAAATCTCCACTAGATTTCTTTCTGGCCGGTTTACAGACATACTGTTATGTCCAACAGCTGATGTATTGTTTATATTGCAGGTTGTTTGTGCAAGATAAAAGAAGACACTGTGCATTGAATGCGTGCGATTCCTTCAAGAGCTGTGAGTATGTGTGTGTATGTGTGCAGACTCCCACTTTACCAGGCAGCTTCACAAAGTTCGACTTGACAGAATTATCTGTCTGTCTGTGAGTTGGGACAGTGGAGTGTAATGCAGCCTAGGCATGCCAAACAAACCATACAGAGACACCATACAATTGGGCCAATTGATGGAATTGCCGTGAGTGAAGTTCGGAGATACAGAAGAAGAAGGCAATGTGGACACCACAACCATAATGTGATTATTGAACTATATTAATAATTAATACATCTACTTGTCTACTCCACTTTTCTAGGAAAGATTTCTAGATATAAATATGTACATATTTTTCTTCAGAAATGGATAATGACCGAAAGTGTTGATAGTCGATTAATTGACTAATCTCTTCAGTAAACATTAACAGCCAAATGCATTTTTCTTATTTCCAGACATGAGATAAACACACGACCACCACCAACACTCACCCACTTTTGCGCGCCCCCGCCATCAACTGTATGCACGCGCAGCGTTCTGGCGCGCGCTCTCACTGCGAAACTTGGGGAGTTGAATGATGAGCAGCAACTAGTACCAGCCGTTTTCAAGTCGGCATTGACGAGCGCCTGTGACTGAAACGAGGCTGTTTCGGCTAAAAAGTGCGCCTTCGGTAAAAAATAAAAACAACAACTATGGACACAAAGAGAGTGGACACCATTTCTGGCCGGGTGGATGCTGCTTCTTCACCTGGTAGGACAGTGATTGCATGTTCTAATCGGGTGATTCATAGGTGGTGTTTGGTTTTCCGTGGAGAAAACGTCAGATAAAACTAGTGTAAGAATTATAATTTAACGTTGCCTTGCTTATTGGTCAAGAAGATGCCCCTGGCACAGTTTAACTTCAATTCGGTGTGCTTGTAGGACCACTCCTTAATTCGGCTGTATTGCAAACAGCAAACCCATTAATTGGATAAAAGTGACGGTTAAACAATTGCTCAAGTGTTTGCGTGAATGGTCACTCAACTCAAACACTGTCCTCTTGACATTCATGCTGTCTATGGCGATAGCTCGCAATATAATTCAGTTAAGAAAGTTAAAATGTGACGTAACGTTAAGTGATTGACAGGTGACAATTACCCCTCGTTTCCCTGCTAATTAGCATTCGTTGAAAGGCAACATTAAATTGATGTATTTTGAATGGAGTTTTGGCGTACTTTCCTCATTGCAAAGTTGAGCTTGCATGTATGCTCTGCAACATATGTCTGTTTGTTTGTGTCACTAAGAGGTAACTGTAGTCTGGACTTTTGCCTTCTCTTGAAAGTAAAATATTGTTGATGGTCTTTTGGTGTGGGCGACTTATTTGTTTCACAGGGCATTAATACAACAATCAATCCATGTTACAATTAAAATACATCCTTTTCATGTTGATCTGCCACTGTAGCCACACACGTTGTATGCAGGAAACTTTTGAACCCTCCCAATTCAATTTGAGTAGTCTATGTGGGCACAGGGGCGTCCGTGATGGATTCAGTAGCACAAATCCTCGACTGGTGTCTCGCTCCCCCCACTCGCACAACTCCCCCCCCCCCCCCCCCCCCCCCCCCCCTCTCTCCTCCACAGTACTTGGCTGGCATCCAGGATAATGATCACTCAGTCGTAGTCCATAGGTTTTCCCTCAGGCTCCTTACTGCCTCTCTCAGAGCCAGACGAGCAGTTAACTGCTCATCATTCCTGGCTGAGGTTAATGTTTGTTTGCACACCTAATTGACTCCTAATTATCCTTTGTTAAGGATTTGAGTCA